AAAAGGGGCCACTGCACAGTCTGGTTGCAAAAACACAAAGACGGCAGCCGCCCTTTTCATAATATTTTGTCTTCATTTTGCATAGTGGAGGGAAGTGGTGAGGCTTTTTCTATCGTATATACAAACCTCCTTCCCAGAAAAGCTGGGACATTTTCCAAAATGTAATAAAAGCTAAAATCTGTGATTTGTTAATTTGCTTGAACCTTGGTTTAACTGACAATGTACAAAGAAAGGGTTTTCAATGTTTTCACTGACCAACTTAATTGCACTTTGTAAATGTCCCAACTTTTTTGGAAATGCAGTTTCTATGTCAAAAAATGGATCAGAAAAACTGTTGGTAGGATTAAACAGCATTATTTATGGCAACCATATACAGTAACAGGACCCATGTATTATATTGACTCTGAGCAGTGTATTCTCCTGATCTAATCTGTTTCTCCCAGGCTGTGGAGTATAACATCTTTGAGGGCACAGAAGTGCGTGGAGGTCCTCTGGTGGTGATCAGCCAGGGCAAAATTGTGTTGGAGGAAGGCAGCCTTCACACCACCGAGGGCTGTGGGCGCTACATCAGCCGTAAACCCTTCCCTGACCACGTGTACAAGAGGATAAAGGCTCGCAGCAGGGTGAGTTCTAATTGCAGCATGCCCACTCATCCAGCTACAGAGAAACACACTTCTTACAATACAGGTGGCAGATGAGCTACACAGCTTGTGGTTGGATGAACGAGATTGTATTTTTAGCTCACAGAGTTGCGAGGAGTCCCCAGGGGCCAGTATGATGGGCCGGTGTGTGAGGTGACTGTGACTCCCAAGGTGATGTCCACAGTCTCCTCACTGAAGACTTCCCCTGCTAAGCAGCAGCAGCAGCAGCAGCAGCATCCATCTAGATGCATTCTCCTTCTCCCAAAGTAAAGATGGTGGGGTTTCACTGTATTGTAAACACTCCCAATTACTTTCACACACACATAATCCAGATGTATCTACTTTATAAATATCAAATCCTTGTCCTTAAGGTAGTGCGCAACCTTCACCAGTCTGGCTTCAGTCTGTCTGGTGAGTGAACAGATTTCCTTCCTGGCAGTTGACCTCTTGCACAACTAGGCATTTAATTTATACTCTTATTTTTTCAGGTGCCCAAATTGATGACAACGTTCCCCGTCGCACCACCCAGCGTATTGTTGCCCCCCCTGGTGGAAAAGCCAATATCACCAGCCTTGGCTAAGCGCTTCTCAACTGAGCTGGGGTGCAGGGCAACAGGGGGCTGAGGCCATTCTTACTACTGTCACATCACATCTGGTCACCTCTGACTCCTATCGCACCCTACGCAAAAACATTGCATCCACTCTTATTCACACACGACCACTATGACATGTCATGCAAAAAAAAGTGAATACTAATCCATTTTGTTTCCTTTCCTTCTATATTCTGTTGTCAAAGAAGGATCTAGTGAATTGAGGCATCTTTTTTTATTTGCTCTTTTTAAGCTCAGTTTGATTATTGATTAAATCAGTTTGTTTACATTTTTTAAAATAATTTTGCAGTACATCTTTGTTGGCCTCTTGAGAAAGTGGCCAGCCAGTTTCATGATCGGGCATTTTAGAAATGGCACGTTTACATTTTTTCTTCTTGCGCTTTATTTCTCAGTATGAGTTAGTGTGTGCTGGTGGTTGTGCTACACTACCACCTTTAGTTGAGTCTCCACTGTTCACGTTGTAAGACAGTTTTACTGTAACATTGCTGTTTTAGTACACAGTGTCAGTTCTAAGCATGAAAGATTAGACTGTAGGATATGGTTGCACCATCTATTAACACCTTTTCATTTTATCTGAAATCTGCAGTATTTGATGTTGGTGTACGTCTTGTATGCAGCTGCACAATTCACCGTGGTCTTCCTTTTTATGTTACAGTTGCACTTTCTGCATTTTTTAAAAGTGATATTTTGTTTTTATCGAGTCATTTTGCAAATTTCTGACACTGAAATTGCTGACTGCACTGAAGGGAAGATGAAGGGTATTTTAGGGTTAAACCACTCATTCAACATCTCCCTGATTATTGGCGGTAGAAACGGTTTCCATCGTGTCATCATTTTGTTTTTTCCTCATGTTTGGTTATAAGGTCATCAAAACCACAAACTTCCAATGAGCAGAGTGATGTTGATACTACAAAGAAGCTAGATGGGAGGTTTGCAACAGCCTCTCTGCACCTGCTGGTGTGTGTCCACACAGCAGTCGTGTAAGCTTTGTAATAACAGCAGCCAGGGTGGAGTCACCTTTTACCCAGCTCTAAGAGAATTTGTTTTGCACCTGTATCAATTCAGATGGTAAAACTTTGTGTGAGCTCGCACATTTTAATTTGTGTTTGGATACGGCTGTATATTTTAGGATATTTGTTGAGTTGAGCTACTTGCCTGCCTGTTCTCTAAGATATTGATAGCACACTGTATCTATGAAGGCTCTCTGAAGAAGTGAAATCCTGATCTTTGAGACCTGATGGAAAAAAAACCTTCAGTATGTATATGAAATCTCGTCACAGTGTGCTGATGATGTGTCCACTGTTCTCGGTGTTAGTGTTGTGAATGAATTAGCAGATAACCACTTATCTTACCTGTACCAGCCCCAGCGTATCTCTCCAGGTACTGACTGTATTTGCCCGACCACAGCAGGTTGTAGGCAACACAGCACTGTACAACCACACTCTGTAACACACTTTGTTATTTCTTCCTCATTGCCTTGTCAAGTGTAAGTTTGGTATGCCAAGATATAATGTGAAGTGATTTATATATGAGGAAGTTTCATGGTAATGGTTATTGAATGGTGTAATGTTGCTCTCCAAACAAGTATGATGTGCTCTCGGTCATGTGTGTTTTGTATGCTGCCAGGGTTTTGGGGGAATTCATCAGTCCTGTCAGCATTTGACTATCTGTGTTGACCAGTGGATTAAAATAACAAAAATGAAACTTGTGGTATGGACTTTTTGTTTTATTTGTGAATGTTTATTTTAAACACTTTACAAAACATTTTGTGAGTGTTCTTTAATAATATAAGGCTGCTTTTATAACATTTACAGGAAATTGTAAATTTCCCTTAATTAAGCTTATGATGGAGTGTTATTTTTTACATCGCAGTCAAGCTACTTTCACTTCAGTAAAGGCTTTATCTACATCCTTACTCCATCCCTGATTTAAAGAGTTGCTTGATCATATAATAAGCGGAATTAATAAATTAGAGGTGCACCAACTGAGCACTGTGTCCAGTGTCCTTAAAATTAGTGACATGTTACTGAATCCTTTTCAGGAACCTTTTTATGATGATACATAACATTCTTAAAGAAATAAAGTCCTTTCCAGAAAAATATTAGTGAACAGTTTCACATGTAAAATAATGCAGAGAAGCAGCGAAACACTAGGTGGAGACACAGACTCGTGATGCACATCCTCAGCTTCACAGCAGCCTTTTGTTGTTCCAGCTCCCTGAACATTTCACCCCTGGGGATGCTTCCAGTAAAATTAACGGAGCGAGACAACGGCTACGTCACAGTTAATGCACACATCAACAAAAGTTCTGTGATTAGTTGGAGTGAAGCTCCCCCAGCTGTTTGACAGTTGTCCAATTAGGTCTTAGCATGATGAGTGTGCTGGAAAAGGTGGAATCCTATCAGATCAACCATCTTCACCCACTGATGACTTTAATAGGACAAAAGAGCATCACTGAGATTTTACAAAGCTTAAATCCAGTCAAGGCAGTATGCAAACATCAGTCATCAGAGGGGCTTGCTATACTTTCAATCCACTAATATCTGTGTTAAAGGACCACAACAGGGATCTGTCTTCAGTACCACATCTTGATGAACACTAAGTTAGAACTGTACACGCATTCAAGATAAAACATTATTCCTCTCTAGGGCCATTGATTGATTATGTAGTTATTGTCTACTGTATTTACCCCAGATTAGCCTACTTATTTTAGATATTTATCTTTTAACATGGGAATCGATCCTAGGACAAGAACCATTAAGATCGGAAGTACTGATACTTCAGGATCTATCCGCACATCACTATTTATCAGAACAAATGCATTATAAAAGAATACTGACAAAATGTGAATTATATACTTTTTAATTTCATCATGGATGCACAAAATTAGGCAGCTGGACAAAATGAGGGACTGCTGAAGAAACAGGAGTGTGGTTCTTGATCTGCAGATCTAATTATGGTATTAATAAAAGATAATGCATTTACAGGATGACATATTTATAAAGTACTGAATACAGGTGAGGTTTCATTCATAAACTGACTGCTCTCTGCAGGCATACAATAGAGGGAGGAGGAAATGGGCCATCCCTCCTATCTGTAGTAGCTTCTCTCCTGGCATCTGTGCAGAGACAGTGAAATTTACTGCTTCACAGACATGCTAGTCATTGACAGCGTGGACACGGACAAGCACTCTCCCTGCATTTCCTGGTATCTCCCCTGTGGGAAGCTGTCAACTCTGCTCCTAGGAATGAACTCAACGCACAGAGGGGGATGTTGACTTAATGATGCTGACTGCATCTCTTCCTTCTCACACATAAAAGAGAGCATCTTGGAACTATAGAAGGAGTACCTAGGAGAAAATAAATCAATACAGTTAGCAGAGGTTGTTCTCTTGCACTTTGATGTCTCTGCGTGAACAGAGAGACACTTTGCAGTCTTGAACTCACAGTAAACACTCAGTTTTTCACCTTTGCACTGGTAAACAGCAACCATGGCAGATCTTTACCAAGCTGCGTGCTTTGTATTTGAATAGTGAGGGAAAAAAGACAGAAACATGAGGAGTATGGCCCGAGAGAAGGCTGTGTATGACTTGACATCTCTAAATCTGGTGGGTCTTTTGAGAGGCTTGGGGGCCGGAGAGGATTGAGGTCAGCAACCGCAAGGTTAGTTCAAATTCCACAGGAGAATAATGAGACATCCATCTGGCACTGCTTGGAGGTAGACAAAATTATGGGCATGTGGAGAGATGAAGTAGAAACTTTGAGGGGTTATATACTTGGTGATTAACCCCCCATCCCCCCCAGAGTCCAAAAACATCCTCACTTACCCCTTTTTAAGAATATGTCATACAAATTTATTGTAATGTGACAGGGAAGTACGCACGGCCTCTTGGTTTTTGCTGTGTACAGAGCAGTACACAACATTTTCATGACAGGAGACAACAGGAGCACCACTGATCAGCATTTTTGGTAACATATATAAAATTTTTCTTATTTACTTTTTTTTTTTACATTTCACTTGCTCTTCTATAAAATATGTAAACACATAGAAGTCCTTTGGTCCTCTTGAGGAAACTATTTCACAGCTTTTCTCTATGGATCTTTTCATGTGTTACAGGTGATTTTCCCCACATGTTTCCAATATTTAATAAATATTTGCTTTATTGTCATGATTTTAAAAACAAAATAATTATGTCAGTAATATTATGATAAATCTCCCAAGTTGTATTTTGCTGTAGTTTGTATTTAAAAAGCTAACAAGCCCTCTTATTATTAAAAGGGACAAATACCTCTGATATTTCTTTGGATGATTTAGGCAAGTGTACATTCAAGAAAAATCACAGAATGATGTAATAGCTGAAATATTCCAGATTTAAGTTTCAGAACAGTCACAGCTCACAAGGCTCATCCGCTGTGATGTTAACAGAGTAAAAGGAAATACAGTATAGTCTCATTTATAACCTTGAAAGGGGAGTCATGACTTATGGATGAAGGATTACAGTCGTTATACAGGCTCTCCTTTTTCTGACAGGGACATTTGGTGGATTTTAATGGTGGGAGGGTTTCCTACATAAGGGGTCTGGGTACAGTTTGACTCCTGAGGGGGGGTCACACTACTAAGAATGCAGCAGCAAGTCTGGTGGAAGCTTTGACTACAGAATTTGACTACTTTAGTCCTGTTCGTTTTGGCTGTTCCAGATCCGCTTGTGGGTCCTCCAGCAAAGACCCTCCACTCCCTGCTGTCCCTGGAGGAAGGGGTTCTGGACAAGGCCATAGAGGAAGAGGGGCTAAGCCGACAGGGAGCTCCCCTACTATCCATACCCAAAGTAAGGGGCTGGCTGGCACCTTGAGTTTGACTCTGCTGTGCATTCAGATGATGATGGTGTAGTCTGGGAGTCATTCTCAAACAGTGAACTCCGAGCAAACTCTGGAAAGCTTTCTTAAACTCCTGGTTGGAGCACGGGTAGATGATGGGGTTTATGCAGCTGTTGAAGTAACCGAGCCAGAAGGTAATCTTGAACACGGTCTCTGAAGGTCTATATGCAGGAAATATGGAGCCTGCAGGGACATCAGACACAAAAGAGTGGTTAACATTACAGCAGAAAAAAACAACAAACACATATAACCAGAAAACTAGTGGTTTGGTTACAATGCTGCTGGAAATGCCACTAATTTGTATGTCCTTGATCATAAACCAAGGTACAGAGCAAATTAAAAATTTGACCTGGTGATGGTGCTAGCAGAAAAATTAAGAGACTACCAAAATCTTTAGAATGTCTCCTCTAGGGACCTTTTATATCTGTAGTAAATTTCATAGCAATCCACCTAGTGGTCCAGGTAAACCAACTAACTAACTAAAGTTATAAAATAAATGTAGTGGAGTAAAAAGTACAATATTTGCCTCTGAAATGTAGTGAAATTAAAGTATGAAGTAACAGAAAATGAAAATACTCAAGTACAGATACTTCATGCCATCACAGTTAAGGGTTTTATTAGAATTACATCATAAATTGTGCTGCTTGGTCACACCAGAGAGTGTGAATGGGACCGCTAATGTAGAAGCAGTGAAAATGGCTTAACAGGCTCATTACATGCAGATCTGTTTGTCACTATAAATGTGGCTGACTCTTCACATATCCAGTGGCTGCCAGCGAAACATTAAAATAATTAAATGGCTGACTTCTTGCGCAGCTGCAATATGGCTATCTATCTATTGTCTATCTTCAGAGTTAGAAGGGAAGAAGCTGTCTTGTGAAATGCTTTACTGGGCAAGCTGTTGAATGCGTTTTAATGTGAGCTTTTAAAAAATGTGTTTGTTCCTGGCTGTACAGCTTATACATTTTATTCCTAGCTGTGCCAAAACAAACCATTTTAATATTGCTGGCACTCTTAACAGAAGGGTACTGGAGCAGTTAGATACATGTAGGTCAGGTAGAAACATCATAACTAACTTTTGTAATGTTCTCTTCGATTAAACCATGCTGTATTTTGGGTTGATATATATTTGCTGAAGACATTTTGCTGAGAAATGTCTCTTGCCCATATTAATAGCAAGCATTGCTTCCACTAATTTGTGAAATACCTTCAATGCCACAGATATTAAAACATCCTAAAACATAATAACAGACAGTATCATTAATCAATTTTTGCCACTTGGAGGCAGCAGAACTCATTATAAACACAGCAATGACCTTAAAGTTGCTGTGGCAAATATTTGCCTTTATTAAATCCTGCAGACACGGAGTAATAATAACATTCATTTGGATTTGTGTTTCTGGCCAAACGATCAATCTAAGTCCATCATTTGCTCTACTTTTAGCTCTGTCTTGTCTCCACCAACTAAAATATTTGGCTCTTCACCTACTAAATACTCCACTATGCTGACTGCTGGGCAGTTAGCATACGGTGGAGGAGTTTTCCCCACTGAGAACAACTGCTTGTTGCATCAGGGGTTAGTGAGAGCTGTGACAGTGAACCAAATCTGTAAACAATGACCTGATAGACCAGTGGTACTCAAACACAAGTCTAATGTCAGTGGTGTCATGGGACCAGGAAGGTTGGATTAACCAAGGAATATTTATGTTCTTGAACAAGGATGTAAATAGAATACATTAATTTATTAATGGGAGAAGTGATGCTTTTTTTCATAAACCAAATCCTTAAATGGTGCAAAGCTTGTTGTTTTAATCTGTATTCATAGTTTTTAATACTGCCCACTCTTTTTTGTTAATAATAATAATAATAATAGATTATTATACTTGTTGCTTGATAAGATTATTTCAGCTGGTTCAGTTTGTAGTTCTCACTGTACAGTTTGGTTCTAAATGGGCATGTTTGCTGGTTGTGTGGCATTTTGCTGTTCTTCATAGAGTGGCTGTTTCATAACGAATTGTGCACAGTGTCCTTGTGCTCAGATAGAATGAATAGTTCACAGTCTACTCATCCTTAAGTGCACGTGTCTCACCACCAACCTCTCTATTCTTTGCACTGGCCATTTCAACTCGGGCTCCTACCTCTAAAAACAATGCAACTCCTTGCATCGAAAAAATGACAGGGAAGAGGGTGTTTGGTTAGAGTCAGAGTCTGTCTGGTGAATATGTGGGTGATAGATAAAAAGCTTAGTAGAGCTAAGGGAAATTGCAGAGCTGGGTCATTATTATCTGTGGGTTTATCAGTGACAACTTTAACATTACACACCATCATTTGACTCATTGTTCATGTAAAGATATTGATTAGTGCAGCTTTAAACAGAAACCTAACACCTACTGGAACTCTTATTTTTGGTAACCTGCAGTGGTTTCTCATCTTTTTGCTGTAATATAGCAACAGGGTTTACCAGTACACCCTAATACCACCTTTACAGATGTGGTTACAGAGTACACATCTGACCAATCACACCCAGATGTAAAGCTTTCGTCTGGAAAGGGCACTGAAACACTGCTTTACAGTCTAGTGTGAAGTTATTTAATAATTTTGCTTTTATTAGATAGTGACAGAACAAAGATGACAGGGAAAGATATAACAGTACATGGTTGGTGTCTTAATATAATATACCACAAAGGCACATGTATATATTAGTAATGCCTTGACTTTATTATAGCCCCTAAGAAGGACCTCTGTAATGTCAAAGAGAGAGAAGAACGTCCCACAGATAAACACAGAGCCCGACAACTCACCTTTCTGACATGACCAAAATCAGAATAGATTTTTCTTTGATGACAAACTAATATTTACTCCAATAAACGAAATCAGACAATCACAAGTTATCTGGTTCTATACGTCAAAACAAGATTGATGATTCACTGCTAAATCTATTATTGTCCACAGTGGCAGTGGTATCTAGCCTGATGCCAATATTAGTAAGGTAGCGTTGATAAGCGGAGGCTTTTCTTCATTTCCTAGTCAGGGAAGTAGCAGCTATATTTACAAGCGTGAGAGCAGGGAATAAATAAATATCATGAAGGATCTGTGAGGATTTTCTCATGTTTCACATGTATTTGGTCTGTATTTCCTCCTCACATTCCCTCCATACTGACACCAGCGTGTATAGTGTATGCATGGCTGGCAAGCCGTGTGATTCCCCTTCAAGCTTGACTTCATTGATCTGGGTTGTTGATGAAGGGCTCTTCATATAAGGAAGGTTTAACACTAATGTGATGACGTTATCTATCAGTCTGGACTGGCACTGTGATGAAGTGAGACAGAG